CATACTTAGACACAGTATTTTCACAGAGCAAAAGTGTCTGAAGCAGCATTTTACATGAAGTAGGTTTACTCACTGTTTAGTTTGCTAAGTTTAGTCTCCTTTTTGACAAAGTCATTTTGACTAATGAGTGTTATAAGAGGAATAGAGGAGCGTAACGTGTGCATGGTAGAGCGCGAGAGAGAGAGCGTAGCGGGCGGGAGCGGGCGGTGAACGGCAGCAGAGCAGTAAGTTATCAGGTCTAGCAGTAAATGTACAGTGTGAGTTACAGTTGTCGGTGAATAAAGTTTAATAAAGCATTGTGCTAGGTTCAATGGGAGTTTGACACCTCTGTGTTAAACCGACAGTCAGTCAACTATACTGTAACTAACGTACTAGCTAAATCCGTTTCACTCTCAGCTTACACGTAACAGCAGCAAAACTGGACATGGTAGTCATGAATTTAGTCATGCTTGTTGAGTTTAGAGAACTGATGGGGATGTTCTTTTAATTGTTATTCAAGCAATGTATGTCTCGTGACAGTTGCCAACTTACTATGAACACACTTCACCGATAACTCGTTCGCTCTGCCCGACTCTGGCTGATCAGCTGGTTGGAGGGTTTGTTTGTAGTGTTGCCAACAGGGACGTTGTAGAGTACCCTCTGGTGGACAAACTATGCAACGCCAACACTCATAACATGGTTGAAGGGTGTTTCGTCCGTTTTTATTTTATTTTTTAAAATATTAATTTATCGGCCATTATAAATGCCGATACTGATAGTTTGGAAAATGCCTAATATCGGCCGATAATATCGGGTCTCTAGCACGTTCAATGTCACTTTTATCGTTTAACTATCTTCAAAATGTGGTGGTCTTTTCAACAGATTAGCCTTGTACATGGCTTATCTAGTAGAGTACAGGAAAGGAGAAAGTTGACAGAGGTTCTAAACAAGGCTTGCTCAACAGAGTAAAAAGGGGCGGGACTTAGGATTGGTTAATTGTGCATGTTGGCTCCAAGTGTAAACCTATCGTGACATCACCCATTGGTTGTTGGCATAGTGTTTTGAAGCCCGAAGTTTGGTGTGGAATGGTCTTCGCCATGACAATTAGATGGAGCCAGCGGAGTAGAGCTGTTGAGCTGCTCTCATTGGCTGCGCAGTTTCAACTCCTAGTCCCATACAGCAGTTGCCAGGTCACACATGATCTAGTATTCCAGATAAACAGTACACTAAAATATGTTTCTGAAACAATTTTAGGTGAGAAACAGTCAACGCAGTAACTAATCTTGATTCATATTTGATCAGCACTGCCTAGTTTGACAGTTTGATCTGAGTTTGGTGCGTTGAGCTGGACGGACTCATTGAGAATTACCTGTCAGTCACAAGGTAGCCACGCCTTAAAGCATTCTCTGCTTTATCATCTATTTTACTCTAAATGGTAAATGGATGGTAAATGGACCTGTACTTGTATAGCGCCTTTCTAGTCTTCCGACCACTCAAAGCGCTTTTACACTACATGCCACATTCACCCTTTCACACATTCACTCAGTGATGGCAAAGTCCATCGAACAGAAACTAACATTCATACACACTCACAACCGATGCACGGCATCGGGAGCAATTTGGGGTTCAGTATCTTGCTGGATACTTCGACATGTGGCACCAGGAGCCGGGGATCGAAACCCACAACCTTCCGATTAAGGAACGACCCACTCTGCCTCTGAGCCACAGTCGCCCAAATGGGATCACCATTTACTAAATGAACATTATAATGTATGGAAGAAGACTGAAACTAGAGACTGAGACTATAAACTCATTAGGAAACTGTTTACTGAGCTCATAAATCAAGTCACAAGTCGGCTCATTTCTGCATTAGTGTGCATGGTATCAGTTTTTTTATCGAACCCAGACCTAGGAGCTCTGTCCATTATATATACTGTCAAGGGTTGGCTCACTCTGATATACTAAATGGAACAGAACTTTATTTAGTGTCTACTACTACTATTATGACTACTATTTCATGTAAAAATGACAACTGTGAAAAAGGTCTATTGTGACAGGACTGTGACAGAAGCTCTGGTTTACCCTAAGGAAGTAAGATGTGCTACAAGCTACCACCCTAACCCTCTCCACAACCTTACTCTGCGGGTGTGGGGGAGTGGAGGAGGCTACATTACAAGCACATTTTCTGCTTCGGCACTGAACATTAGCACTGTACATGAATAGTGTACAACAAAATCACCCTCTACGAACATAATTTATGTGTATATACATGTATATTGGGCTGATTATAGCTGAAATTAAGAAACCAAACCCATAAGACAGGGTTTAAATGCAGCAGTGTCGAGACAGCTATAATCCTCAGCTGCATAGAAATGACTGAGAATGGGATAAAGAAGAGTCAAAAACACATCTGCACAGACAGCAAACTGATCAGAAACCATAAAAGGTTCATATCAAAGGTTCTACGGAGATATAAATACCAAGGTTGCTCTATGTTCACAAATTTGATCAAAGGCAAGAAAACACTCACTCTCTCTACTAAGATATTACATTTACGTCAGTAAATACCCCACCTGTAAATTTTTAAACTTTAAAAAACGCTAACATGTGGCTAAATTTGACTACAGAAGTCGTCTTTGAAAGGCGAGAAAGATGGAAAGACACTGTGGGTTGGAGGCTTGAAGATATTTAAGTCTCATTCCCAGCATCGAGGCCATGTTCAGGCCCGGTGCATACTTGCAAATCCCATTAGGACGACTAGAAGGAGCCAGAAGAACCAGATTTTTTCACTGATTATCTGTCTCATGTACTACTGTCAGGATATAGTGAAAGTTTCAACAAATATGACAGAAAGTTATAACTAAAGAAGTTACCTACTGCAGCTTTAAACACAGAGCAAATCTAAAGAAGAAATATGTGAAATGCGTAGTCCACTCCTTTTTGTTTCATTTTTAATGTAATTAGAGAGTACCGGGCGCCCGGTTAGCTCAGTGGGTGGAGCTGGCTACCGATGTACCAAGGCTGAGTCCTTGCTGCAGCGGCCCAGGGTTCGAATCTGACCTGCAGCCCTTTGCTGCGTGTCATCCCCTTTCTCTCTGCCCCCCTTTCCTGTCTGTCATCAGCTGTCACTATCATAAAGGCAATAAAACCCCCAAAAAATACTTTAAAAAAGAAAGAGTGCCTACCCCTATACTTTATATTTTTGTTCTTTGGTTAACTACAATACTGTTTTCAGACATTTATCGACACCAAACCCCTGTGCCGCCACTGCATTGGTTTCAGCAAGTCATTATGGAGCTTTGATTTGAATTTTGCCTTCATTTACACAAAGTTTTTATTTATTTTTTTACTTTTGACACCCTTCGTGTGACCAGTCATTGAGCCTGCACAATAGGCTACTTTAACAGTGGATTCATTCACAGATGAACAGAAAATGAGGCTGAGATTCGCATGGCACAGCCTTTATCCTACCGCAAGTCTTGCATTAAAAATATTTCAAAAAATGTAAGAAATATAGAAAACAGACAGGGATAAAAGCTGAAGGAATAGCTTGAAGTGACTAACTTCCTAATTGATATGTTTGTAGGCATTAGATTTGTGTTGGGTTTGGCCTCTGCTGCAGTTTCACTCCATCACTATCTTGTCTACAGAGACATACTGTACCCATATTTGGCCACCTGGGTACTGCAGGCTGAAAGAGAGCTCCTCTCTATTGGTCTCACTGTATTGAATGAATAATACAAAGATAGCACTGAAATTGCTCGTTGATAAATTGGTGAGTAAATGAAATAAAAACAATTATAGGAACACATGGTTCAGCTTTTATGTGACATTTTGCTGCGTTTTATATTTCATATCATTATAAACAGAACACTTGGAGTTATCTGGTTGGTATGTTTTGACACAGCAAGAAAATGGTCAACATGTCGGGCAATGTAAGAGGATTAGGGCCACACATGAAAAATGTAAGTTCTTAAGTTCAGAATTTGGGGTTTAAATACAGAATTTATAGCTGGTTTAAATCCAATTAATCAGATCGATCTCAGTTTGTACATGTTAACGATGAATCCTCCATCTACACTGAAGTTAGTCATGGAGTTCCTCAAGATTCTGTGCTTGGAATTCTGACTTTAAATCTCAGAATAAAGTCAGAACTCTGACTTCAGAGCTAAATCTTTCACGTGGCTTTAATCTCCTTCCATAATGGGCAGACGGATTTAAGAAGTTCTTAAAATTGTACAATTAATACAAAAAAATAACACAATTAAACTAAATGTTTGTATTTTTGTTGCACAATTTTTTTTATTGTAGAATTGACTGTAGCTGGATATAATTGATCTATCTATCTATCTATCTATCTATTTATCCATCCATCTATACACACACATTGTGGCCTCTGTACTCTGCAGCAGCTAGGCTATCCTGCCGGTCTTCTCATGACTAAATAAGAACAACCTATGCAACCTGTGTAACACTGCAACAGTGCAGTGCTGGTGGGGGCTGTCTTATTAGAAATGAAATGAACTTGGCTCGCAGAGAAATGCATCAAAGTCCGAACAAAACGTCGCATTGACGCGCTGAGCTAGCAAGCACTGCGTACTATCTCCTGACTGCTGCTGCTGCATGAAGAGCTGCTGCCTACAGCCAGAATCCTGATGAGGATGATGTCAGTGTTCGAGGATGGGAACACATTAGTCCAACATCAGCCATCAGGGAAATGACTACAGTGGACTGTAATGAGCAGGACACTGCACCCCCCACTCCCCCCCATGCAGCCACACACAGAAAGACACGCTTTTGCAAACGCTCCGAATGGTTGGATGCCATTTGATATGTGCACAAATTGGGTTGCACAATCCGTGTCGGGCTCAATCAGTTTGACCGTCGCAGTGATGTCAAATTAAACCAAAATGAAGGCGATCCAACGCGATGCCCTGCAGTATTATCTGATCCTTCCTGTAGCCGTGCACAGAGCACGACAACATGGTAGGCTGCTGCAAATCAAAAGCTCCATGTCTTACCGCATCAGTCCTGACTCCCAGCCTGGGCTTATCCATTTTTTTTGCCGGGGATGTGATACGAGGCAGTGCGTTAGTGGTTTCCCAATGACGACATCGGACATGTGCAAAAGGTAAAGCTGCAATATCCGCCTTATTGGTCAGACTCTCCTCCTCCCTAACGTTACATGGTTGGTGGATTGCTGCGCAACCCCGCTGCACCATCCACATCTACTGTACGTGGCCGCAACCACAACCCACCCTGCCTCTCTCTCTCTCTCTCTCTCTCTCTCTCTTTCTCTCTCTCGCCTGCAGCACTGATAGGAGCACGCTTTAAACCAACGCCAAGCAGACTGATTGCCTCCTCCATCTGTTTGCCTGTGACGAACATATTTTCATAAAGGAAATCTGTTGTGCACATTCATGCTCCCATCAGGAGGGAATCTGTCAACGGTGACCCCCCTTGACCTAGCCCTTATGCACGTACTGTGTATGTTGAAGCAGATCAATCAGAGATTAACAGTGAATTAATCAGCAATAGTCTTGATAATTGCCTAAAGATCCCATCCAGACATCTACTACAACCTATACACAGTCTGCTTGGAACAATAATGTGTGTCTGATATGTTTTTTCCCACAAGAAAAATAGAATTTCCACATTAAAATCCTTAAGAAGTCATCTACTCCTTCTACCTTATTAAATATTCCAGAATCTCTGAATATGCAAATGTTGTTAATTTTTTCCTGCAAGACACAAGATGTCTCCTACTTAAGTCCATTCTCAGTGTATGTGCACTGGAGGCTTCAGGTTTGTACATCACACTGTAGAAGTTGCATACTGGACCAGGATTGATATGGATTAAAGGCGCAGTAGGTAACTTTTATAAAAAATTACTCTTTGCCATTTGCTGAAACTGGCATTTGCGAGAATCAACTGGGCCTGAATAAAAACATCCAAGAGAAATAGTTGATTGTTGAGTCTCATTCCCAGGGTTTACATTTTTTCACAGATTATTCAATTCAATTCAATTCAATTTTATTTGTATAGCGCCAATTCATAACAGAAGTTATCTCAGGACACTTTTCAAATAGAGCAGGTCTAGACCGAACTCTTTAACATTAATTACAGAGACCCAACAGTACCACCATGAGCAAGCACTTGGCGACAAGGGCAAGGAAAAACTGCCTGTTAAAAGGCAGAAACCTAGGACAGATCCTCCGGCTCTAGGTGGGTGGTCGTCTGTCTCGACCAGTTGGGGTGAGAGAGAGAGAGAGAGAGACAGCCAGACAGACAGACAGACAGGTGCACAGCAACAACATTTGGCAATGGCAGTCAAGCAGGACCATGGCAGGAGGCTCCACCAGGATCCATGAGAACCTGCGAGACGAGAAAGCACAAGAACTCCGGGGAAGAAGTGAAGTTAGTAACATGCATTAAAGGGACATGAATGAGTGCAGAAAGAGAGAGGAAGAGAGTAGCTCAGTGCACCATGGGAAATCCCCCGATAGTCTAGGCCTATAGCAGCATAACTAAGGGATGGTTCAGGACTCACCTGATCCAGCCCTAACTATAAGCTTTATCAAAGAGGAATGTCTTAAGCCTACTCTTGAATGTGGTGAGGGTGTCTGCCTCCCGAACCACAACTGGAAGCTGGTTCCACAGGAGAGGAGCTTGGTAACTGAAGGCTCTGGCTCCTGTTCTACTTTTAGAGACTATAGGAACCACAAGTAGCCCAGCATTCAGAGAACGTAATGTTCTAGTGGGGTAATAGGGTACTATGAGCTCTTTAAGATATGAAGGGGCCTGACCATGAAGAGCTTTATAGGTGAGGAGGAGGATTTTAAATTCAATTCTACATTTTATAGGGAGCCAATGCAGAGTAGCTAGTACAGGAGAGATGTGATCTCTTTTTCTAGTTCCTGTCAGTACTCGTGCTGCAGCGTTCTGAATTAATTGGAGCGTTTTAATGGACTTATTGGGGCAACCTGATAATAAAGAGTTGCAGTAATCCAGCCTTGAAGTAACAAATGCATGGATTAGTTTTGCTGCATCTGTCTGTGATAGTATGTGTCTAATTTTTCTAATATTACGTAAATGAAAGAAGGCAGTCCTAGAGGTCTGCTTTATGTGGGAGTTAAATGACAAATCCTGATCAAAGATAACTCCAAGATTCCTGACAGTGGTGCTAGAGGCCAAGTTAATGCCATCTAGAGTAACTATATCTTTAGACCGTGAGGTTTTTGGGGCCAAGAACAAGAATTTCGTTTTTTTCTGAGTTTAACATCAGAAAATTGCAGGTCATCCAGGATTTTATGTCCTTAAGACATGTTTGTAATTTAGATAATTGATTAATTTCATTGGGTTTGATTGATAGATATAACTGGTTTTAGCCAACTATAGACCGATTTCTAACCTCCCGTTCCTCTCTCAGATTCTGGAGAAAGTAGTCGCCAAAGAGTTGTGTGACTTTCTACATAACAATAGTTTATTTGAGGATTTTCAGTCAGGATTTAGAGTTCATCATAGCACAGAGACAGCTCTGGTTAAAGTTAATAATGACCTTCTGACTGCTTCTGACAATGGACTTGTCTCTGTACTTGTATTATTAGATCTTAGTGCTGCATTTGACACCATTGACCATGATATTCTTTTACAGAGACTTGAGCATCAAATTGGCATTAAAGGAACTGCCCTAAGCTGGTTTAAGTCATACTTATCAGATCGTTCTCAGTTTGTACATGTTAACGATGAATCCTCCATAAATACTAAAGTTAGTCATGGAGTTCCACAAGGTTCTGTACTTGGACCAATACTATTTACTTTATATATGCTCCCTTTAGGCAACATTATTAGGAATCACTCCATTAACTTTCACTGTTATGCAGATGATACGCAGTTATATCTATCAATCAAACCCAATGAAATTAATCAATTATCTAAATTACAAACATGTCTTAAGGACATAAAATCCTGGATGACCTGCAATTTTCTGATGTTAAACTCAGAAAAAACCGAAATTCTTGTTCTTAGCCCCAAAAACCTTAGAGACTCATTGTCTAAAGATATAGTCACTCTAGATGGCATTAACTTGGCCTCTAGCACCACTGTCAGGAATCTTGGAGTTATCTTTGATCAGGATTTGTCATTTAACTCCCACATAAAGCAGACCTCTAGGACTGCCTTCTTTCATTTACGTAATATTAGAAAAATTAGACACATACTATCACAGACAGATGCAGAAAAACTAATCCATGCATTTGTTACTTCAAGGCTGGATTACTGCAACTCTTTATTATCAGGTTGCCCCAATAAGTCCATTAAAACGCTCCAATTAATTCAGAACGCTGCAGCACGAGTACTGACAGGAACTAGAAAAAGAGATCACATCTCTCCTGTACTAGCTACTCTGCATTGGCTCCCTATAAAATGTAGAATTGAATTTAAAATACTCCTCCTCACCTATAAAGCTCTTCATGGTCAGGCCCCTTCATATCTTAAAGAGCTCATAGTACCCTATTACCCCACTAGAACACTACGTTCTCTGAATGCTGGGCTACTTGTGGTTCCTATAGTCTCTAAAAGTAGAACAGGAGGCAGAGCCTTCAGTTACCAAGCTCCTCTCCTGTGGAACCAGCTTCCAGTTGTGGTTCGGGAGGCAGACACCCTCACCACATTCAAGAGTAGGCTTAAGACATTCCTCTTTGATAAAGCTTATAGTTAGGGCTGGATCAGGTGAGTCCTGAACCATCCCTTAGTTATGCTGCTATAGGCCTAGACTATCGGGGGATTTCCCATGGTGCACTGAGCTACTCTCTTCCTCTCTCTTTCTGCACTCATTCATGTCCCTTTAATGCATGTTACTAACTCCACTTCTTCCCCGGAGTTCTTGTGCTTTCTCGTCTCGCAGGTTCTCATGGATCCTGGTGGAGCCTCCTGCCATGGTCCTGCTTGACTGCCATTGCCAATACTGTTGTTGCTGTGCACCTGTCTGTCTGTCTGTCGCTCTCTCTCTCTCTCTCTCTCTCTCTCTCTCTCTCACCCCAACTGGTCGAGACAGACGACCACCCACCTAGAGCCGGAGGATCTGTCCTAGGTTTCTGCCTTTTAACAGGCAGTTTTTCCTTGCCCTTGTCGCCAAGTGCTTGCTCATGGTGGTACTGTTGGGTCTCTGTAATTAATGTTAAAGAGTTCGGTCTAGACCTGCTCTATTTGAAAAGTGTCCTGAGATAACTTCTGTTATGAATTGGCGCTATACAAATAAAATTGAATTGAATTGAATTGAACTGCGTATCATCTGCATAACAGTGAAAGTTAATGGAGTGATTCCTAATAATTATTTGTCTCATGTACTACTGTTATTTGTTTTGTTTATGACAGAAAGTTATTTCTATAAAAGCTACCTACTGCAGCTTTAATGTCATGATTCATTGTAAAAATGGTACAATGAGAGAGAAATTACACAATTACCCAGAGCCCATGACACCTTTACAATGCTTGTTTTGTCCAAACAATATATTTATATTATATTTATTAAAAATACATTTAAATAATAAGAATAATTACAAGGAAAACACAAAATTTCAGAAGCTGGAACCATCAAATGCTTTTGTATGAAAAAAACAAACTTAAACGGTTATCTTAATAGTACATTTAATGTCTTAAGCCTACTCTTGAATGTGGTGAGGGTGTCTGCCTCCTGAACCACAACTGGAAGCTGGTTCCACAGGAGAGGAGCTTGGTAACTGAAGGCTCTGGCTCCTGTTCTACTTTTAGAGACACGTAGTGTTCTAGAGGGGTAATAGGGTACTATGAGCTCTTTAAGATATGAAGGGGCCTGACCATGAAGAGCTTTGTAGGTGAGGAGGAGGATTTTAAATTACAGTATATTCAGAATTTTACAGGGAGCCAGTGCAGAGAAGCTAGTACAGGAGAGATGTGATCTCTTTTCCTAGTTCCTGTCAGTACTCGTGCTGCAGCGTTCTGAATTAATTGAAGCGTCTTAATGGACTTATTGGGGCAACCTGATAATAAAGAGTTGCAGTAATCCAGCCTAGAAGTAACAAATGCATGGATTAGTTTTTCTGCATCCATCTGTGACAGGATGTGTCTAAATCTTGTAATATTAAGTAAATGAAAAAAGGCAGTCCTGGAGGTTTACTTTATGTAAGAGTTTTGTAACTTCACCACTGGTATTACGTGACACATTATTCAGGTGACTTTGGTGTGGATATAGCTTGTGTAAACTAAGGCACTGAGCATCCACCTCTCTCTCTCTCTCTCTCTCTCTCTCTCTCTCTCTCTCTCTCTCTCTTTCTCTCTCTCCACTGACACAGTTGGTTCCCAGCATCAGGCTCTTAATGGCCAGGTTAGGTTACACACACCTGCAAGTGATACAGGCTCATAAATATCTTGCTCTTCATGAATTATTACAGAGCTTGTAGTGAGCATGTGCAGCCGGCCAGGCTCCCGGCAGGTGAAGGAGTCAGTGTGGATAGAGCAACAGAGCCAGGATGGACATCTCCGTTCTGCCCAACAACAATCATCCGGAGAAGTTCCTCCAGCTGGACGTTGGGATGCTGCCGGCCACACACGGCATGTTCCAGGTTGGGGCAGTCATGTCCAGTCAGAGACACTGGCAGAACAGGGTCTACTCCCAGGTATGGACTATATGACAAACAATGTAACTGTATGTTCATCTCCGTGTGTGCTTTTGTGTTTTGTTTCTGCCCTTTGACATGAACTGGATTTGGTTCCTTAAATGTTATTCCACATAACACATACAGTATACCAAAATGCATTATTCATGATGTGCATTAAGTCTGTGTGAATCACAATCAGGAGTTGTGTGGAGATAGTAGCTTGAAACAGGAGAACAGGAAAGTGCATTATTCAGTATTCAGGATCTAGAAGGGTGGCATGTGGTCAAATTTAACACATTAATTTAGATCAATTAGATTAACATGTATTTAGAAAAAATATCTGAGGATTTGGAACTAAAACAAGTGAGGGTCCAGGCTGGCAGGTATGTGCTTCTTATTGTGCTGGAGAACACTTCATCAGAATGGGGCTGAGCGCCACAGTGTGGTTGTCATTTAGACCAGATACTGCAGACTTTTTAGGTCTAGGGAGGATGGTGGCTGTGTTGAAGCAGGTGGGAACACTCTCCTGTGACAGTGATATGTTAAAAATATCAAGACATCTTCTAGCTGATTGGCATGTTTTAAGTACACGGCCAGGGAAGTTATCAGGCCCAGCAGCTATAGTCATATTCACTCTCAGCAGGATTCTTCTCATATTGTGGCTGTGGATACTGACAGTGGTGGATCCTCTAGAGGCAGAGTAGACTTTACAGCTAACTCTTTGTTGAGGAGAGAAATGTTTCATTTAATTAACACCTGAATGTGCCATTTCCTGCAATATAGAGTCTTCAATCATGACTAATAAAGCTGCTCTTTTACTATAAAGTTCAGTTTATTGCAGCAGTGAGTGACAGATAAGTGCAGACTGCATACTGCTGTTAGAAACTGAGTATACAATTAGATGATAATTAGCCTGATCAGCCACCGTCAGTAATCAATACACACATGTCAACAGTCTTTTTGTCAATTCATCATCAACATAATCCATTAAGATAAACCTTAAACTGCACTTAGTGGGACAAAAGAGTGGAAATTAGGTGAATTGTTTCAAAAATGTTCACTAAAGTGCTGGTTGGTGGATCAGATACACCCCAAATTAAACCCACTGTTTATCGACCATCTATCAGGTGTGTGTCTTTTGGTCCATGGCTATTCCTCCTCATTTCTGCAAGCATTATATAAAGGAAAATCACTAAGGCATTTGCTGTCAATTTGAGGTTAATTTAAGATTTATAGATCACAGGTGAGTAAGTTACAAATTGGCCTCTTAGAACCTGTTTTTTGATGCTCAGCATCTGTTAGAATTGAACGTAAGCACACCATCAGAAACTATCTTAAGGCCCCTGTTAAACGTTGTCTATTAATTTTAATAGTGTTTGAGCACAAAGCAGCCCCCTGTGACGGAGAAAATGACTTTGCATCTCAAAATAATGACTTAGTATCTCATAGTATCTTAAAGTCATTATTTTGAGATACTAAGTCAAAATATTGAGATGCTAATTTGTAAATAACGTTTCTCATTATTTTGTGATGCTAAGTTAATATTTTAAGATGTTAAGTCAAAATTTTGAGAATGTTTCTCATTATAATGACTTACAGAATCTTTTTTTATTGTCAGATTGGCAGAAATGGGCTTCCATATATTTTGCTAATTAACAGTGTGTGGAGGATTTTTCTAATTAAAGACAACAGTGGTTATACTTTTTTCCTCCAATTATTGTATCATCATAAAGTCTCTTTATGTGATTATAAGCAGCATCAATGGAATAAGAAAGTCAGGAATCCTGTCAAAATGAAAGAAACTGCAGATAATAATCATCATTATGTATAGGCCTATTTAATTAAAGAATTCTGCTTTTGACCACCCTGTATACTGTGTCTCCAGCATCTCCTCTCTGTCTATAGAAAGGGTTGAGAGATGGATGTGGTAAGAATTCCAATCTCGGCCTCTTTGTCTCCACAGAGGGAGGATAGTGAAAGCCGGTCTCCTCCGTCCCCAGAAGGCACACCTGTGGTGTTTGTGGACAGATACCTGGAGAAGCATATCACTCCTGTCACTCTGAAGTCCAACATTAAAAGGAACCCTCTGTACATGGACATAAGATCAATGGAGGTAGTAGACAGCAAGAAGACCACCAAGCCTTCTTGGACTGTGAAGGAGTATGACACACAAACAATCCATGGCAACCTTGCGGGTTATTTAAAGGTAATTTGAGGAGAGGCTGTCGATGTTGACAGGATGGGATGGATTGGTGCAAAGACAGATGGACAACTGGATAGATGAAGGGATACACTGTAAAGACAAACTGGCAAATGAGACCATGGAACATAGCCTAGTACACTGGTTATGGTAGGATAACCAGACACTAGTAAAACTAATCAGGGAGGGCAGGCAATCAATACTGGCGGGGAAACAGACAAACACAAGAAGTGAAGTTACATGCGGAAGAACCCTTTCAACATAAAACAGGAAATAACTGAAATAAAACCCAAAACCATAACAACTGGCTATAATGATAGTATACTTTTGAAACTAGTTATTTTCTTCATTAGCATTAATAAACGACTACACTGCACTAATAAATAAAAGCACTGCCCTTGATAGGCTGATGTCCCTTCATGGACCAGTTGATAAAATAAATATAATTAATTGTTGTCATACTATTTATGTGTTAAACAAATGTATGGGTGCAACAAAGGAATACAATTAAATTATAAAATCATCTGATATGTACACAGAGACATATATGCAAACACTTTTGCCTACATATACTGAGATATTCATGAATTTAAAGCTGCAGGTCATTTTAATAAAAAAAAATTTGTAACTATATGGTAAATGGTAAATGGACCTGTACTTGTATAGCACCTTTATAGTCTTCCGACCACTCAAAGTGCTTTTACACTACGTGCCACATTCACCCTTTCCCACACATTCACACAGTGGTGGCAAAGTCCATTGAACAGAAACTAACATTCATACACATTCAAGCAATTTGGGGTTCAGTATCTTGCTCAAGGATACTTCGACATGTGTGCAGGAGGAGCCGGGGATCGAACCAACAACCTTCCTCTGCACCACAGCCGCCCATCCCATCCTGACAGTAGTACATGAGACAGATAATCTGTGAAAAAACTGTTGATTGACAAGAGAGAAGGTTTCAGCTTTATTTCACTGTAAAACCTGACAACACAATAAAACAAGTAAGTTAATGTAACTTAATCCTCCAAAATATTTGAGTCACTTATTCACATGAATTAAACCCAACTCACTTGTTTTGAGTGCACTTAAATGTGTTCAATATTTTGAAGTACAGGCAATATAAATCCAGTTTGTTCCACTGACTAATTTTCTTTGAATTCATTTTATGTCATAATAACAGTGGAAGCATTATAATGCTGTAAAGCTTTGGAGTTTTAGTTTTATTTCATTTTATTAATCATCATAAACCCAAGTATACATTAAAATAATTATTACTCATTAATGTAAAGATTTGATATAAGTCACATAAAAAACAATGAAAAAAACTTATCGCATGATAATTAATTGATTATAAATTGCTTTTATTTTACCTCAGCTGTTTTGATGGGTGATGTAATAATTTGCTTTAGTGGAAGAAAACTGAGTAAATAAAACTTGGTGGTAAGATTTGTATAAAGAAGATTCATTTAAGTTACTTTATTCAGAAAAATTCTGTTCACACATTTTAAATAAGTTTGGAGAAATGCTACAAATTAGTCTAACTTCAATTAACTGAATGGAATTGGTAGAATTCACTTAATTTACCCAGGTTACCATAACAATAAATGCCTGATTTATGTCTACTCAAATATTTTTGATGCTTAAATTAATTGAGTTAATAAACTTAAACGGTTTAAAGCCATCAGTTTCCTCAAACAGTTTGAGTTGAACTAACTCATCAGGTTTTACAGTGTTGTTGTTTGGCTGTGAACAACAAAGATGCATTTAGTATAAAAGCATTTGTAAGTATGATGAACATTGCACTTTAAATGTTATACATTATATTCTAAATACATTAAAGTGGCCCTCCCATGAGATGACAATATCAGCAGTTTGAGACCCCTGTTTTAGATTGTTCACCCAGATATAACGATGCAGTACTGCCACCCACTGTTCATATAACTTAACTAAATGAGGTATTTTACTATCCCCTCACTCCTTTCTATTGCTCTAGTCTGCATTCACAGTGACAGGGCTGGAACAATCAGTCTTTCCCTTCTCCCTAGGGGGAGTTCACCTCCTCCACATTGAAAAAACAATGTGGATATTTTATAGGTTGATTCCATTTTGATAAGACTTGATATATTGATTTGGACTACTTTCAGCCCTGGTGTTGTAAATAAAACTAGCTTAATAAATTAAATACAAAAAATAGTATACATTTAAAAAAATATATTTTTTTAAATGTGTTTACTTTGTACTCCAGTAACAGTTGAACAAGACTCAGTCAGAACCTCGCTCAGCTTCCTCCTGTCTTGTATTTAGATATGCTATGTGCTAAGCTAACATATGTTGAAAAGACAACCACGTTTTAACGATGGTTAAAAGATAATCTACATCAGTCAGATAGTTAGTTAACACTAATGTAGATTAGCTAGCTCAGTACTTCTCATGTGTCAGGGGGGACTGACGGAGGAGGAGAGATGGAGAAGTTTCTGACAGGAGTAAAAAGAAAAACGGAGGAGACGTCAGAGGCAAGAACAGCAAGTGACGGTAACCGGCATAAACCTAATAAGAGCAGGAAATACGACGAAGCCTACATAGCCTTTAAGTTTACCGTGAATACGGTCGGAAATGAGGAAAGACCTGTGTGTGTTTTATGTTTAAAAACTCTGGCAGCGGACAGCATGAAACCAAACAAATGAAGACCGCACCTGGAGACCTTACACCCCAGTTCTGTCAATAAGCCACTGGACCTTTTTTCACCGGATACTCGATGCGTATCGCCAACAGGCCGGTCATTTAGTGAGCGCGGCATCAGTAAATAAAAACGCACTGTTAGCCTCGGACAAACACCGCCACATCGCAAGGTGCAAAAAACCATCACACAATAGCAGAGGAGCTAATACTCCGGCAGCATTGGACATGGTCACAATCATAGGTGAGAAAAGTGCTGAGACACTGAATACTGTGTCTCTGTCCAATGAGACTATATTTGACATTTCAGGCGACCTCCAAGAACAACTCACAGAACATCTAACAGACAAACGTTAAATATAAGTAATATTGTTGCACAATAAAAAAAATGCACATCCCAGTGAATCATTAGCTTTTTTCTCTGTTTAGAGAATCACACAGACTGAGCAGTCTTGTTTCAATGTTACACATTGAGTTAATAAACTGAACTTGGAAATTGTTTTAAGTTGCTGCAGATGTTATCTCAGCTCATTTTAATTCAATTCAATTCAATTTTATTTGTATAGCGCCAATTCATAATAGAGGTTATCTCAGGACACTTTTCAAATGGAGCAGGTCTAGACCGAACTCCTTATAATTTAATTTTATTTATTTATTTTATATTTTATTAATCTATTTTAATAAGCAGGTGATTGTATGCAGAATGCTGGTGCCAGCAACTCATACAGTGGTTTGTACAGATAAATAAATAAATATTATCAGGTTCTCAATAGTATTTCAGTTCAGGTGGGGCGTGAAAACATTTCTGTCCCCTAGGGGGGGCATGACAGATAATAATTGAGAACCACTGAGCTAGCTAGTGTTTTCTTAACGTTAGCTAACATAATGAAAATCCCTCCATTTTATTGCTTATTCTTGAGCATTTTATACCATTTTAGAAAGTTACATTTGCCATAAGGCTAAATGTGGTGTGATAAGAAATTGGCTGTATCTCAAACTACAAAGAGCACAATAACATATTTGATACCTATAAATTCTGAACTTTTCAAAAATCCTGATTTCGACTGTTGATTAAAGTGTGGCAGATGCTGGCGCATTTTGACTGCCACTCCATCTCTGAACCAAAGTGAGTCCATGTACCCCTTACGCTATTACTTGGTAAAGTTGTCTCCAAGCTGGTGGTCACTTGCTACCATTTTTCCTCTAACCTGGACAAGCATTTGAACCGGATTAGTGTCTCAAATTACGAACCTACCATGAAACTCTGTTGCTTGCACCAGGGCTCCCGGGACTGACTGAAAGCCTAACTTTGCTATCCTGCCTCATCGCTAGCGACCACAAGCCCACCTGCTTATCCTGCCAAGATCTCTTGGTAAGCCCTTGGCTCTGTCCGTTATTCCTCCGCTAGCCACCACCACGGCAAGTTGACCTCCATCCTCTGGACAGGAGCTGGGTTAACAGACTGGTAGCCCTTCCAGTGTCTGTCTCCTTACCGTGCTGTTGGTCTCCTAGCGCTGTTATGCTGTGGATTATCCCGTGGACACTCCTGGGGTGCAGATTGTGCTGTCATTCACAAGCCAACGCTAGTTCTGTGCTAGCACTCTTCGAATGAGCTAGCACTAGCTCTGTGCTAGCACTCTCCATTCAAACCATGCCTGCGCTGTACTCCACCTCAGATCTTCATAAACTCAACAATAACCTGCGACTGGACTGCATGGACATTCTCAAAGAAACAGGATTAGTTTGCAAACGCCATCCTACACACAGAGGATGTGGTCGTTTGTCTACCTACAACTTCCTTGTCATCAAACAAACAGCACGGCAATCAATACCATACCAGCCTTCTATTTATTACGTGGTGCTCAATCATCCTTATTTGCTAATGCAACTTTAATCAACTTAATCAAGCATATATGTTTTAATCATTGGTCACATGACGGATATAAAACATAACATATCTTCAAGTCCCCCTTTTGGTCTCATCTCACTGAGACCAATAAAAATTGACACATAAAAAACCCTCAGACCCCCTTTTCGGTTCCCCTTGAGGTCATGCTCTGAAATCAAACAAATCACGTTACACAGAATTTTCATCAACCATTCCTACTGCCAGTGTGTAATGTGGGAACTGTGTCAACTCTGCCCGATCAGCGGTCGTGGTAGATCCTCTGTCATAAAATCGTTCCCACACAAATGCAGGGACTATAACAATCAAAGCAAAACATAAAAATACACCAAGCCATCCCATCTTGTGTTTGGGGAGGCACATAATTATTTTACGATTGTAATACCAATATGACACCCCACTCAAAGTAACTATTGAAGAT